CAGCCCTTTCTCTACCCACGCTCTCACCTGAAGCAATCTTTTCCATTCTTACAGTTTTAAAATGTTTTATCGTGAAAAATTTCATTCCAACCAAAGAGTATAATGAAACCCATGTATCTACCAACACTTATCATTCCTGTGTGCTGACAACTCCCAACTGTTATCTGTAGCCCAGATATCTCTTTTGAGGAATCATATAGCCAACTGCCTAAATTGGAAATTGGCATTTCCACTTGAATAGCACATAGGCTTCTCAAACTTTACCAGATTCTAAATTGCCCTAAATTCCTTCCCCACCCCGACTCCCGAATTACTAGGAAGCTCCTGGAGGGCCTTCCATGCTTTATTCACCTATGTTTTCCAATAGCCAACAATGCCTGGCACATTGTAGGCACTCATATTTATGGTACTACTCAGTTAAACGGTACCATCATGAACTCAGTTGGCCATGAAACTTGACTCTGTCTCCTCTCCAAATTTAGGTTCATCTTTTAAAAACACAGATCAGATCAGATCATACTTTTAAATGTCTTTCCATGGCTCTCAGAATGAAATCCAAGTTCTCTAAGATGGCCTGCAAGGTGTAGATAGGCCCCTGTTCCTTGCTAATTCTCCTCTAGCCAGTCTTCCCTTCACTCCTGTACTCCAGCCTCTTAGACTTTTTCCCACTCAAGGCTTTCTCAGATACTTAACCCTTCAGATCTCAGCTTAATACCACCTTCTTAGAGAAAACTTCCATGGGCTCATGTGGTAGTTCCCTGATTTTTGTCTCACAGTACCTACCTCAATCTGTAAGTCTATGTAATTTTACTTCTGCCACGGCTCCCTGGGGATAGTGGCCATGGCTATTATGCTGTTCCAAAGGACTTTAAGTATAATGGACACACTCAATATTTTATAGAATTAGTGGATTAACTGGGACTAGGTTGAGTCCTAGAGAACATCTACAGTTAAGGCACACTAAAGACCAGGAAGGAGTAGTCAAAATGTGCAGGGGGACTTCAAAGTAATCAAAGAACCAACAGGTCAGATAGAGATAAGAACTCCAAGGGGGAACATTTGGTCCCAGTGGGTAGTGAGGGTACTGGGGAGACTCAGGTCCAAGTCTCAAGTTTACTAGCTTTATGTCCTTGGGCATGTTAGGCAAGTATGTTGAGTGAACACTTTCAGTTTCAGCTTTCTTTTAAAAGAAAATACAAATTTCATGGGCTTATGAAAAATAAGATACATCTAGATGCTCAATAATACAACATACAAGGAAGTTGATTTGTTAATCAAGTTGGAAACAAACAAAATTTAAATAATTTGGACATAATCAGGTGGACATCAGTTCTGGAAGGACACTGGGCCTGAAGCCTGACAACTTGAGTTCAAATGCTTTTTCTAGTTATGTGTGTCTCTGAGGTTCCATCTTCCCATCTCTTTAAGATGCTGATGCTACTTACTTCTTAAAATTGCTACTAAGATTAAACAATATCATATAAAGCTTCCTAGCCCATAGTAAGATTTTAATAAACAGTTTCTTTGTTCTTTGGGGTAATTTAAATTACCCAAAGTAATGAAAATGAGAAAGCAAATCTATGGGGAAGTTAGGATGGGCTTTGGTTTCTGAATGTGGAAAATGGTACATGGAAATGTCAAGGTGACGGATTCAGACAACCAAACATCTAATCCACTGAGGTTAGGAAAACAAAAAAAAAGTTTAAACATGAACCCAACGCCTAAATGCTCAGTGATGACAATTACAAATACTTTTTGATTCACTACCTGCTTTAAAATTCAAGTCAAAGACTAGTGCTTTGACCTCCTTACTACTCCCCATCACCTTACACTGAGGGCTCACAGGGACGATGCGTTATTTTCTTTCTTTCTCACAACCACCTAACAGGCAAGTAGTACTACTGTCCTTTGCAGACGCAGATACACAGGCTCTGAAAGGGCGCGCAGCTTTCTCTGCACGGGCCGGCGGGAACCCAGCAGGCCGCGTCCAGGGCCTACAGCCTCGGGCGCGCGCTCGGCCACGGCCCTGGCCCCGGGTCGCGCCGGTCAAGGTCCCACAGGCCAGGCCAGGCCAGGCCAGCGCAGCGGGCAGACGTGGCCTCCGCGCCGAGCAGCGGGCGCCTTCCTCGGAGAAGGCGGGGCCGCTCTCCGGCCCATCCCCGCGGTGACCTTGAGCCCCGCAGGCCGGAAAGGGACTCCGACCCCACCGAGGCTCCGGCCCGCCCCGGCCCCGCCGCCCGCAGCCTCGGCCCGCGCCAGCTCGCAGCCCTGCGCCGTGGGAGCGCGACCGAGCCGGGGCGGGGACACGCGTTGGGGACCCCGCGCCCTCCGCCCCGCGGCGGCCCCTCCCCGGCCGCTCCTGGAAAGGGCGGCGCTGCTCACCGGAGCCCGGGCAGGAGGGCGCAGGGGGCGGCCCGTCGCAGGAGGCCGCCGGCCCAGGCCGCTCCGTGGGCGCGCAGCACTCGCGCCGCCATCTTGCTCCGGCGCCTCGGCTCCCACCGCCCGGGCGCCGCCGCTGACGCCGCCGCCGCGACCCCTCCCCCGGCCGGGCCCCGACGAGGCTGGGGCGGGGCGGGCGGGCGCGCGGCCGCTGCAGTGCGGGGCGCCGCCGCCAGGGGGAGCCGGGGGCGGCCGCGGGGCCTGCGGGGTGTCTCTGGCCGGGCGGCTGGCAGGAGGGAGCGCGAAGCCAGGGGGGAGTCGGTCGCGAGACGATCACCTCCAGTGAAAGGAGCTCGGTGTCCGGAACAGGGTGCGCAGAGGAACATGGGCATGGCTTGAATGTACACGGAAAGCTCCACAGGAAAAGAGTAGCACTGTTCCGAGGGACATCCAGGGCCTGCCTGGGGGCGGGGCGGTAGGAGGGGGGCTTCTCCCGAATACCTTTTGAATTTTGTACCGTGTGAATATATTGCCATTTCAAAAAACTTTAACACTTCGAATGGAACCGTACTCAAATTCTCTTGTGGTCTCGGGGCCACATTGTTCCCGCCTTCCCTCAAGCTGTCACAGTCTAGTGGGGCCAGAATGTGAAATGATCACTGGATCAAGTGTGTCAAGTGTTGAAATGGAGAGGTTCGGGGGGAGGGGGGCACGGGCAATATATGTAACCTTAACACTTGTACCCCCACAATACGCTGAAAAAAAAAAAAAAGAAATGGAGAGATTCACAAGACGCCCAGGTAGCCCAGGAGAGCCTGCAATGGGAGTGGCTGTGGAGGACAGACCAGGAAAAAGTTCCCCAAGGAGCTGGCAGGACAGCTCAGTCCCAAGGGAAGAAGAACTGGACCAGTGGAAGGAGGAGGACGTCCCCTGGGGAAGAAACAACTTAAGCAAAGGCCTGAGTCCAGGTGGCATTGCATAGGGAAAAATGTATCCTGTGGAAAGATAAAAGAGCCACAGATGTAACTATGAAAACTGTAACCAAGACAAGGAGAACAGAAAGGGAGCTGACACTGAGAGAAGGGGGAGAACCAGGGAGGAGTACAGGCTCCAGTAGCCCAGGGCAGCATTTCAAGGAAGCCAGCATAGGGCTTGGAGGTCTCTGCTTAAGAGGGATGGGGGAAGAGACTTTTGCTGACTGAGGACTGGTAATATTGGGAGCCAAAGGGTGCAGGAGTTTTCTGAGTGGGGAAGAATTCGAACATGTTAATATGGCAAGGGACCACCAGGGATGACAGACTTCAGCCCGCTGGATGGAGGAGGGATGGTTACAAGGATTTGCCCCAGACCGGGGAGAGGGGCCTGTGCCTTGGAGGCCAGAGGCTGTGTGGTCGAGGGAGTTCCTGACCTCAACTAGCACATGCTTAGTAAGGGAGGCTGGAGTGAGCTCTCCTCAGGCTATCATGGGCTGTCCTAGTTCCACAGAGCAAGAGACAGGGCCTCTCCAAGTGTAGATGAGCCCCTGTGACTTTCTCACACATTTCCCCAATTTCTCAAGTCTGGTCTCATGAAATGTAAACTTTGTAGCTAGACATTTCTTTGCTGACTTTACATTTGTTATGCAGCATTAAGCCACTTATTTTGCATTGTTTTCCTCCACTGTCATTTTGCCCTGGAGTTCTGTTAACCCAGTGCTTTTTATTGGGGGGAAAGGAGGTGCTCTTATGTCACAGATGTGTGGCTTAGGGTACTCAAAGCTATAAAATAAACACAGCAAGTCATCCTGGAGCATCATTTTACACCAAGAGTTTTAGGAAAAAAATTTCTTTAAATAAAAATGATGCTATTACAGAGTATAGGAACTCTTCAAAATATCTGAGAGATGGCTTGGACTCTGGCCCAGAGCTGATGACACGGGTGTCATTTTCTGAGAACCACTTGGAGATGCCTGTATGAACCCTTCCAGGTTAACCAGAGAGCCCCACCTGCCAGAGACCTAGACACTCTAAGGCACTTTCCTTCCACTTACCTAACCCTGGCACCAAGCTCAAAGTCCTTCTTTGGAACATGTTATCCAATATCTCATCTTGCCTGTGAAACTCAGTTTAGGTCTTAGGATTGGTTTTCCAATGGTAGTCTCTCAATTTTATCACCCTCTTTAAAACTTTAATCCATCATTGCTTACAGAGTAACTCCTATTTCTGAGTTCCACCCTTGTTCAAAATGTCCCAGCAAGCCTCACTTGCTTCCAGAATCCCTAGTTATGCTTTCTTTCACCATTTGAGGACTTTATACTCCCTTCCCTGTCTGGAATGCTCCTTCAACACCCCTCATCTACTTGCCTTGGAGACTCTTTAACATTCAGTTCTAGAACTGTCTCATCTCTCCTGGGAGGTTACCCTGATCTTTCCAACTCATGTGGTTCCGTCTGCAATGAAGGCACCCACGTCTACCTCATCCACTAGATTGTGAGCCCCCAGACAGTGGACAAGGCCTGTTATCATTGTTGAAACCGTGTGTTTATACAATACACATATTAGTTGAGGTTGAAATATGCCTCGAGTCTCTTTCTAGGAGACAGAAAACTGAAATATATAGCTTAATGTTTCCTCAAGTCAAAATCTAAGTTATCAGTTTATTAATGAATAGCAATAAAACTCACTCTCCAAATCAAATGCACATGTGTTTGAGGTCCTACACCTTATTCAATGTGTTAGATTTTAGGAACTCATTCCTATTTAATCTAGCCTAGAAGAAAATGACACAATTTAAAAAATTTTTACTTTCTATGCCTTAATCTGAAGAAAGTCTGGCCACAAGCATGTTGATTATTTGCTTTTGGAATTGGTGAAATCAGACAAAATATTTAAATTTATTTTGAATATATACTATCAAAAACATTCACTTACTGTGGCCTTAACTGTTTACATCAAAAGGCTTTCTTCCCTAAAAATAAAGGTTCTAATATAATTTCTTTGAATGAAAAAAAGAAAACCAATATATTTTGTAAAACAGTGAACTTATAAAATAATGCAGCAGATTGCTAGGCACACTTAGTGCAATGTGAAACTATATCCACTGAAAAGAAAATCTGAAACATGGCCATAAACCTTTATGAAAAATTATAACAAGCCCTTTGCTTCATTTACTTTTAGCTATTTCATAAATACTACAAGAGAGACTGGAAAGTTGTGATGAAACTTAGAAAAATTTCTTTTCCATAAAGCAAATGTGTACATTTTCCCTTTGGCTCCTTCTTCTAATCTTCCATCACTGTGACGAAGAGATATCAAGTTCTTCTAGATTTTTGGTTAGGTGGGTTGTCTCCAAACTGACTGGACTCTCCAGGTAGGTAGTTCCTGCACAGGGTTTTCCTGTCACTGGATCTATGACTCTTCCAACTTTGAAAACGATCTCAGCCAGTTCGTGTTTCACGTGCTTTGTTCGTGGTACAGGTAAAGCTTTGAGAAGCACAATATCCCCAACAGTGCACTGCTGAAGAGCATCATGAGCAAAGTAGGTTTTTCGCTTATTAAAATACTGTTGAGAGAAGGAGAGGAACAAATCAGTAGTTCTGATGAATAAACAAACCACTCCTCTGTGATCTAGCAATGCAGTACAGACTACAAAATAATAATGCACAGAAAACATGCCAGGTCTTGGGAAAAGAAATTAAGATACTCAAGGAAGCTTCTAGTAAAAAAAGTAGCTGCTTAATTTTTGAAAAACAGCAATGACTTTTCCAGAGTTGACCTTGTTTCCAAGCTCTTCATCCCATTCCTTCAGTACCCTTGCTCTATCTATTACCATCTCTCCCTACACTAAACTGTTCCTTCCCACTGGAGCTTTCTCTCCAGCCAATAAATATGCTACTCACACCACTGGATATGTCAGTCACTTAACCACTCCAAGTTTAGTTTCTTCCCACCATACAATGAGGCTCTAATATCTACCTCTCAAATTATCAAGAGATTAAAACATTAAAATATACATATACACAGAAACACTTAGAGGTTAAGTCATGTACACAGCTGGTAAACAACAGAGGCAGTATTCAAACCAAGTTTTTTTAAGGCCAAAGATCATGCCATCACTCTTTTTGGCTTGCTCCTGTGGTTTTGATCTTAGATAATGAATAGCATTTCTATCTACCTGTGTGCCCAACCTTGAATGCAGAAACCATCCTTGATACCTGTTCCTTCGCCCTTGCACATTTAACAAATCAATGACTCTGTTCCTTCTTCCTGAAATCTTTTCTCCACTCCATCTCCACTGCACCAAGTGGACCGAGTTCAGGTGCTTATCATTTACATCCCAGATTTTTGCAATAGCCTCCTTACCCATTCCTTTACCTTTAGTCCTCATCTCTATCCTTATTTCCAACTTTATCTTTCCTTTGCTGTGAAATCCAAAACAAAGAAGTCCCTTCACAGTCCAGCTCCAGTTGCCCTTGTCATTCATTCAACAACACTGCCTATTTCTTTTCCTTTGCCAGAGAAAAAAAAAAAACAAACAAACAAAAAAAACAACACTGCCTACTAAGTGCCAGCCTCTGGGCTCAACCTTGCCAAACCACTTGGTGTTCCTGTAGAATGTCATGCCCTATCGCGACTAAACGAACTTCCACAAACTACTCAGCGTATCTGGAATGGCTTCCCCCAACCTGGTCCTCTGGATAAAATCTTATTTGAGATTCAGCTCATATGTCTTTTAATTGAGGATGCTCTCCTGCAGTAACCTGGGAGGAAAGAATGAAATGTCCTGTTCTCTGCTTCTGAAGTACTTTGCATATAGAATGACTATAGCAACTATCATATTGAATTAAAATTAACTCTATTTTCTTGGAATTCACATTCCATGTATGAGCCATGTTATACCCAGGGAGCAGCAGTGCCTGGCTTAAAGCAGATGCTCAACACATATTTGTTGATAGGGAAATGTTTTTCTGCTGAGGACTCAGAACGTGTTGGTGATTTGCCAAAGCCACCTGCAAACAGGAGTGTTCCTCACCTTCAATAAATACGGATCCAGAACAAGCCTGGTCACTCTCACTTTAGCAGTTTTTTGCATTGCTGTCCCAATCACCTTCCCCACGATCCATTTGGCATGGACGGATGAACGAGCTACGGACATTATGTGGCTTTGATCGCCTGAAAAGCAAAGTTTTCAAAGTTTAATATTCTGGTGGTTATGACTTGCCAAATGAATTTTGTCACGAGAACTGACCAAATTCAGAAACAGTTTTGTTAGCTTTCTGGAATCACCATTTAAGAGATACTTACACGTTTCCCAATACTCAACCTCTTATCTTTCTAGTGTTTACAAAGCAGTACCTTTAACCTCTCCAAGTGTCAGTTTTCCCCTCTGCAAAATGGGAATAACAATAGGACCTATTCACACAGGAGTGTTTTGAAGATTTAATCCACAAAGCGCTCAGTATCACGAATAAAAGCTGGTCATCCCTGGTGTCTACCATCTCTCTCCATCCCAGTGGACAGCCGCTCCCCAAAAGCTCACTGCCCGTCTACTCATGCATGGCACGCAAGCCCTTGGAAGAACTGCCGGGGTGTCCTCCCCAGAGCCGGAGACCTTGACTTGGGGTTGCTTTAGGGATCAGTTAATACTGAGTCCATATCGCCGGGCCTGGGGAAGGTCGGGGTGAATCGCCTCCCGTCCAGGCCAAGCCCAAGGTCCGGGTACTAGACTCGCTCCCAGGGCTCCCATGCTGGGGCACCCGGAGCCCCCCAAATCCACCCCCAGCAGCAGCAGCCCGCAGCACAAACTCACCCGCGCCTCTGCTGCGCAGCCACGTGACCCGCAGAGCGCCAGTCGCAGCGTGATAGCGTCACGCCGCACGCAGGCGGCTCTGCCCCAGACCTCTCCTCGGCCGCAGGTCCCCTAGCTGTGGGCGGAGCTAAAGGCAGGGCTCCGCCCACTCTCCCTTAAAGGGGACTGCGCCGGTGGGGAGCCGATGGGGAGTTCCTGGCCTCTGCTTTCCCAGCGTGTCCACCGTCCACTGTAGCGTATGAAGTTCTGGCCTTTATTGTGGTTTCCTTTTCTATCCGGGATCTCCCAGGCAATGGTCAGGGCCTTCCAAATCAAAGGAATTTTTATTCATCAAACATTGAAACATCAGAAGGTTTTAAATGTGTTGAGATTGAAATACTTAATCATTTCTATCCCCTAAAGCAGCTTTTAAGATGTTCAGTATGATTTTAGTTATCTCTCAATATCTGTGAGATGAAGGGAAGTCTGCTGTGGGTACTTATAAATGTGTGCTAATCGTGGGCCAAGCAGGTTGCCCGATGATGCCTTCTCAGATAGAGGGAAGACTGGGAATATATTAAGCTTTGTTTGGAAACTGCTAAGAGGAACAGCATACAATAGGCTGCTGGAACAGAAACATGGGGGCCAAAATATAGGCATGTTGAATCTTCTTTGACCACTGAAACATCTTAGCAACTGGTGATAGAAGGCTAGGAAAATAAGAATTCATCCAGGCATTAATTGCTCCAACACTCATTTATTTCTTCACAAACATTTATGGAACACATTATCAAAATATATTGTATGCACTGGGGGCAAAAAGATGAATAAAAGGTCACTGCATGGGGGAAGGGCATGCCTCTAGCCCTGGCTTGGGCGAGGCAAAGGCATTACTTGTAACTAAAAATGGAACCCTCACCCTCCAAGGACCATAGTCTAATGGGAACAGATGAGAAAGAAACAATTATAATACAGGCACAGGTAATGGGAACCTTGAGAAGGGAGTGCCTAACTTTGGGGAGAGAGGAAGCTTGATCAATCAATGCCAATCAGCACCACCCCCCTCCACACCCCACGGCTCAGAAATGCTGGTTGAATAAGATGGTCATTATAGCAGTCAAAACGTGGATGAGAATCTGGTCTTAGACCAAAGATAGCTAAATTATTATATTGGCATGTGGTTGGCTACTTCTTGCAGCTTTTTAGTGAGGTCTTGCAAGAAACACATAAGCTTTGGTCAAGGTGGCCCATCTAAAAAGCAGAGAATGAAGAACATTCAACTTGGCCAAGACAGGCTGTTTGTGCCTGGGGCCAGCAATCCAAGCCCATTAAATCAGATGATTCTGTGTCTTAAATTTTGAAAAGACTAATCCTTTGCCCAAGCAAATTTGGGGGAGTAAAGGGATGAAGGCTGGAAGCAAAGTAGGAAAGAGAAGACACAGTTAAACAGTTGACAAAAAAAGGTACAAATAACTCTTAAATATAGGAAAAATGCTCATCTTCATTCATAAGAGAAATGCAAATTAAAACTGAACTGAGGCCAGGTGGGGTGGCTCACGCCTGTAATCCTTGCACTCTGGGAGGCCAAGGCTGGAGGATCGCTCAAGGTCAGGAGTTCAAAACCAGTCTGAGCAAGAGTGAGATCTCGTCTCTACTAAAAATAGAAAGAAATTAGCTGGACAACTAAAAATATATAGAAAAAATTAGCTGGGCATGGTGATACATGCCTGTAGTCCCAGCTACTCGGGAGGCTGAGGCAGAAGGATTGCTTGAGCCCAGGAGTTTGAGGTTGCTGTGAACTAGCCTGATGGCATGGCACTCTAGCCTGGGAGAAAAGCCTCATTACCTCCTCTCTCTGGGATTGTGCTTTATATTGCCTTGAGACAAAGGCCAAGATAGAAGCTGAGACAGAAAGTGGAGCACAGCCCTGAGGCCTATAGCTACCAGTCATTAACACCCAGTCTAAATTCTAGATTCAAGGGCATGAATAACCTCCTGGGCTTTGCTTACTAGCTCATGCAGTTGGTTGAATACAAATAGAAGGGAAGACAATTGTGATATGTCAACCTGGAATAATCAAATCCAGTTTTAAGGAGTTTTTTACTCAAGTGAAAAACTGAGAACGGCCATTCAGGGACACACAAATTCCAGAGAAATGGGATCAGTGCTCCAAAGTTAAAAGTTAAGTTCTTACTTACAGGAAGAAGACAAAGAAATTTAATAGGGTTACAACATTTTCTATACAAGGCTGATTTAAGAGTTACAACAAATTAGTGACAGTTTGTTTTCTTTTCCTTATGGCTTCTTTCCTTTTCTTTCTTTTCTTTTTTTTTTTGAGACAGAGTCTTGCTCTGTTGCCCAGGGTTACCCCTTACATCACTTACCCCTTACCCCTTATTACTCCATGTAATAATTCTAGGGCACCCACAATTTGGCTTGCCAAATACCTTTTCTACACAAACTGTGGAGAACTTTTTATTTTGTAATCCCAGAAGATGGAGCTAGCCACCATCCAGGGCTTCAGAAATTCTATAGTTGGGGGCCAGGGGGTATAACACTTTATAGAAATGTAGACTCGGTATAAAAATAATCAGTTATTGGGCAAGTATATGGTACCTAACTTTAAGGAAGCCCTAAAATGTTGAGGAGTCCAGTTATTCTTGCAAACTATAGACAGTGATAGGAAATCAGGATTTCTAGAGGACACTCACTTCTTCTTGAGTTACTGAAGGTACACTATGATGAGTTGTTCCTATTCCAAACACACAATATCATTCCCATGTGACACCATTTAATATTAATATTAAGAGTGTATAATTTTTAAAAAAGGAGTTAGGAGCTTGCTTTCACACAGAAATTTGAGGGCCTCTCAAAGGAAGCCTGGTATCAAATTTTTTTATTTGTACACATTTAAGGAGTACAAGTGCAATTTTGTTACACAGATAACAATTTTGTTACTATACTACATTGTGTAGTAGTGAAGTATCTGCTTTTAGTGTAACCATCACCTGAATAGTATATATTGTATCCATTAAGTAATTTCTCATACCTTCCTCCTCCCTACCCCTTTCTGAGTTTCCAATGACTATCATTCCACATTCTAGTTCATATGTACACATTATTTAGCTTCCACTTATAAGTGAGAACACATGATATTGGAGTTTCTGTTTCTGAGTTGTTTCACTTAGGATAATGGCCTCCAGTTCCATCCATGTTGCTGCAAAAGACACAATTTCATTCTTTTTTATGGCTCAATAGTATTCCATTGTATATGTATATTCTACATACATTTTCTTTATCCAAACATCTGTTGATGGACATTAGGTTGATTCCATATCTTTGGTATTGTGATTAGGGCTACCATAATATACAAGTGCAGGTATCTTGTTTATATAATAATTTTTTCCTTTGGGTATATACCCAGTAGTAGGATTGCTAATGGTAGTTCTATTTTTAGTTCTTTGTGAAATCTCCACACTGTCTTCTGTAGAGGTTGTATTAATTTACATGCAATCAATTTTAAATGAAGTTACTTGACTGATTTCTATCAATGGAGGTGAATAAGTGATGAGGAAACCCCATCATGTTTAAAACAATAGGGTATATCCACATATGGTAAACTAGAAAAGTCAGTGAGACAACATGGTCTTGTCTTAAAAGACATATTATTGAGCTCTTCCTGTTACAAGTGGCCTTATAGCAGTGGTTGTACTATCAATAGGACTTTTGCTCACTTTCAGTGGTCATGTACATCTTGAGTGCCCAAATTTTGGGTTTTGCTACTATTCTCCCCTAAAATAAACGTGAACTCTTTGGGCAGGAGGTGGAGGAGGCAGTTAGTCCCATGTCTTAGAGCAGGAAAAATTCAGGATGGACTTGGAACATCTTTAAAAATGAGAGTGATTTTAGAGATAATAAGAATAGTGCTATGAGTTAAAAGAAGCCACCTTAATGGAGCTTCCATTGGCTTTATTAAGATGTCATGATTTGAGCATTAAAAAAATAATGGTTAATTGGAATTAGATAAGTACATAAGCAGCCAAGTGTTCATAATGATACTCAAGAGCAAAGTTAATATACTCAACTATGTTAAAATGCATTTGTAAAATAAAAGGATGACTATGATAAGGTACATATAATCCATTATTGATCATAAAAATACATATACTTTCTTACTAAGTATGTACATATGTATACACACACATATATGTATATGTATATATATTTCTTCTTGTTAAATCTGGAAAGAATAAACACAGGATGGCTGGGCAAGCCAAGTAATCCTGGGAAAAGTTGTAACCATGTCAAGAAATAGGAAGAACTGCAAGATGGATAACAGACTTAAACCCAAGGCATGAAACCTTAAGAATTCTAGAAGAAGATGTTGGGAAGACCCTTTCAGACATCAGCCTAGGCAAAGAATGTTTGAAGAAGACCTCCAAAACAATCACCACAGCAACAAAAATAAATAAATGAGATCTGATCAAATTAAAAAGCTTTTGCACAGCCAAGGAAACTATCATTAGAGCGAATAGACAGCCTAGAGAATGGGAGAAAATATTTGCTCTCTACACATCTGATAAAGGGCTGATAACAAGAATCTACCTAGAACTAAAAAAAATCAACAAAAAAATCAAACCACCTCATCAATAAATGGGCAAAGGAAATGAACAGAAACTGTTCAAGAGGCCGGGCGCGGTGGCTCACGCCTATAATCCTAGCTCTCTGGGAGGCCGAGGCGGGCGGATTGCTCAGAGAAGAGAAATGACGACACACTCGCCAACTCGCACAAAGTCATTAAAAAGTTGTCTACAAGGAGATTCTTACGATTAGGAAGAAGACAAAGAAATTTAATAGGTTTAGGCACTATACAAAGCATGCGTCTCCAAATACCCACCCCCCCAGCCCAGCAGGCTGATTTAAGAGTTAACAACACAATGAGTGACAATCCTGTGTGTGCTTGCATTTATTCCTTACTCAGGCGTTCCAGCTCCCTCTCTTCCTTTTGCCCTCCCTTGGCGTGCTCTCTTTTCCAGTTCATTATTAAAGTTGTCTAGACATTTTTCTTAAGACCCCACGGCAGAGAGTATTGCTCTTTTCCCCCAGGCTAGAGTGCCATGCCATCAGGCTACCGTTCACAGACCCCTCAATCTCAGTTTCGGATGGTTGCAACCTCAAACTCCTGGGCTCAGCAATCCCTCGCCTCAGCGCATCCAAGTAGCTGGGACTACAGGCATGTCAACCCATGCCCGGCTAATTTTTCTTATATGGCACTCTATTATGGTTTAGTATGCCTCAGCGCAGGCCAGCTTGACACATTTTCC